ATGCAATCGTACAGTACAGTATTCTGGAGTACAATCGTACTCGAGAATAAGCCTATTAGTGAGACTTCCTTAGATGTTGGACATTGGTCGCTGCGTCGCAGAGCCCAATGGGCATTGTCTGCAGTTCATAAAGCCGTCCACGAAAGGGGGTGGTCCGCTGGCACTGTCACCAGTGGAGTAATTTCGGTGAATCTTTTATCTATCCCACCCTTCATCCTCTCGTAACAAGCATGCTTTATTGGGTAGTGATAAATAAGGGTTACATTGCAACAGTAGAAAATCAGTTGGGCTGTGTAAATGCTGCTTACTAACAATTATAAGTAGCTGACTTGTGTCCAAAATAAGCGATACTGAAGATTTCAAACTGCAAAACCGTGGTACTATTCTACTGACATAACATTTACATATTTCAAAGGTAGTAGCGGACTTTTGTAATCTGATTAGAATGCTTTCGAAATGGTGTAAGTAAGCAGTTGTTTTGAAGTGTACTTTTAAAATTCACTTAATTCCTTTAATCCATTTCAGCTTACTGCAACCCACTTCATTCTAGTATTTTTTTATTTAAAAATGATAATTATGTCAAGTTATGATCTACTATGGCTAAGGTACGGGTGTTTGAGCAGTCAACAACAACTAAGTCAAAACTGACCAGCAGTTTCGTAATGCTTTGATAGCTGGTTTGACTTTGCGCTATATTAAGTGAACAATTAAGTCTTCACAGATTGTAATTTTGGTCAGGCGGTATAGCCTTCGGGTCCCGCTAGTAGTCTAAATTCTTTTTTACGTCAGTAGTATACGATTGGCCAGACTTCTGCGACTTCTTACGACTTCAGGGAAGCCTCCTGGAGCCAGAGCATTGTCCTGCTGATTGTGTGGGCAGAAATACTTACGCATTTAGAACGTCAGCTTTAGATGCCCTACTAATGGGAGGTATTTCGGTTGGAAAATTGAAGTGATTTATGTACTTTCTCCTTCCATTTATGGCTGAGACATTGATGGTATGTATCTTCAAAGGAGCACATTTAAGTGTGTCTTATATCAAATTAAATTCCAATATATTTGTTTATTCAGGTACTGCAATCACATCGTCCCATGCGGTTATCATAGCTGAGTTGCATTTTTAAATTTAAATTTTGCTACTGACGATCCTTTCCTAGGCTTGATTGGGCTCTGCATTTAAGGTCGCTGAAATATTTTCAGTAGTCGCTTTAACACTGTGAGCAGTTTTTTTTTTATGTAGATAGATAAAACTAGACTATGCATATAGTTCGAAGAGTCAGATTGGAACATCACCTCGTCCAGTGATTTACGTACCTACTGATACTCAAAGATCGTCTTGTTTAATTACAGTGTCTACTTCTGTCCAAGTTGGCGAACCCGCAACTCCATCGAATGCTGTTTACTGGCGTTGGCATTTGGCTCACAATGCCAAATGAGTCACCACAGCAATTTTCTACAAGCACATGTTTATAGAAAGGTCACTTAGGCTTCATTGCACTCTAGTGGACACTTTTTTTCCAACTTTTTAGCCCCGTGTCCATTTCATCATCACACTGCACAAATGGCGCCAAGGACATGGGTCTCGTTGTTCCTCCTAACATTGGCTCTTGCCGTCTTAGCTGCGGATATGAAGGCGTTTAGGGCATGTTTGGAGGTCTGCAATCAACGCTATAAGCAATGCCTTAAAAAGACAGAGGGTATGTGGAGAGATTTCCACAAAAACGTGAACAACATTACGAGGATTGCAAACAGATGCTGCCTCTATCGTGCCAACTCTAGGCGAGCTACGGAGATGGATAGCCTAGGCGCCTGTGCTAGGGTTCGTTGCAATGCCGCACTTTGGGGGTAGGTTCTTGGAAGGCCTTTACGAGTCTTGATGATAAACACTTCTCTCTCTTTGTTACAGCCAAACAAGATTTAATGAGATTTAATTATTTCTTCTACTCATTATTTAAACATTGAGTACTTCTAATCAGTAACAAGTATTCCGCAGTACTAAAAACTGGCGATGAAATGAGGTGATAAAAAGCAGAATGGTAATATTTTCCGTATTTACTCGATTTCGATGACAGCTGCCCAGGAGACAACGATCTATGTTTATATTAATTCCATTCAAAGGAATTTGAAGGAGTTTGCTTAACACTCTTTCAATCTCAGAGGACTTAAAATCTTGACGACATTTAAGGGCTGAAGGTTTTGAAGCTGGACTACCACATTTTTGACACCTTGTTCTTGTTTTGCTGTCATCACGGGAGTCTGTTAGACCAGTGAGAGGTTTCAATGCAGGTTCCTGCGTGTTCAACAGAGTGAGAAGGGCAAATAAAACCCTGGCTTTCAAATTTGTAACTTCTCAATGCAAATAAATGTCATCAACAACTTTTCTATAGGCTAAAGTTAAGGTGTGAACTCTTTGAGAGCTGAAAGTCGCTTCTAGAGTTCTAAGGCTGGTGGCAATGGTGTCCAGGACTTCATTAAATCCCTTTTCACATTGTTCGGCTTTTATATTACAGCTGAACTTCAATTAAAGGAGGAAATATTTAAGCACTCTTCCAAAATTTTAGTTGCGAAATAAGAAAACGACACGAGGGTGAAATATCCCAATCGGAGAGGGAGCATCTTGCTCAGGAGGAGGAGGAGCATGGTGGTCGCTCATACTAAAGTCCGCTCCTACAAAATTGAATGCCTGCCGAGGAATTTTACCACCATATATTCCTGGAAGTTGATTTTGTGGTTTTAAATTTCATCCAGAAATTCTTTAATGAATATTTTTAATTTCAACCTTCATTATGACTACTTAACTGACTCCTTGCAAGGGTTTGTCGCCATCTCTCTGGGGCCTGTCAGGAATGCGAAGTCACGTTATATAACTGTCTGCCTTTTCAAAAAGAGTTCGACCGCGAGGTCTTGATGGGTCTTGGAGGGTCGCAGCAACTTACCGGTTGAAATGACGAATGCGTCAAAATAGAGGGTAGAGATAACGGAAACGGATGTTAGATGGATAAATTACGACCTTGAAACCCGTCAGTCCAATTAAAGGTGCGGTTCACTCATTAAGTTTGGCACTTTGATGCACATAAAGTGCATTCTAATGAGACGTATAAATATGACAGCTCTCTGATAAAGTCTACCTAACAGGTAATAATGAGTGCCTATCTTCTAGCCATACTTTTTCTCACCACCACATTAGCGGTTGCGTCTGACTCCAGTAAAGATTTGGGAGAGTTTCGCGACTGCGTCAAGGTCTGCTCAGATCAGTATTGGAAGTGTCTGGAGCAAGTGGGTAACTTGTGGAAAGATTTTGCGAAAAACCGGCGCAAAATCTTTCCTATCATAAATGCTTGCTGTATGAAGAAAGCACGCAGGGAGGATGCCTCACCCGAGGACAGTTTTGCAGCCTGCACGCGAATAAGGTGTGGAGCCCTCCTCTTTGGGTAAGTTAGACCACATTGAAAGCGCCTCTAAATTCCGGGCTTGGTTTCTTAGTTTAAAACAAATTAGGCTTATTTGACCTCATTAATATATCCCTAGCCTTTGTGATCACCTTCTTTATGTGAAGATGTGTGGTTATGTCTAGGAGGAGATGCTACCAAACGGACTCAGTTGCCATTTAGATCGTAGGGCTGAGGGATTCGTCAAATACTAGTATTCCAAAATTCATCCAGGCCGAAAAATCCTCCTTGAAACTCACCGTCTGATAACAAGGTAGTAATGACAAGCAGCGACGAGGATGCTTACGCATCTGTCCACTCTGGCCAATTTTTTACAAGGAATATTAAAAAGGCTTAATTTTAAAGAAAATAATTAGTAGGTGGTTTTCTGCCCTAATGTACGCGGTAGCTGGTGCCCTCACTATTTTCACAGTCTTGTCTACAAAACCCAATGGTCACGAGACCGTACAATCCAATTGGTTACTCAGCTTTAAATTAATTCCCAGAAATCACTATTCCCACCAACACGAGATATTAACGCGATATGTCTTTATAAGCATCACAAAAAATTTTTAAAGAATTGCATGCAATGCCTTATTTTGCAAAAAAATAAATGTAACACATTGTTATTGGTATCTATCCATGATCCGCGCACTTAAAACTTATATTTTTTTTTATATGTGGCATGCTTGAAATACTGCTATTTAGTGGTGGAAAGGAAATACAATAAATTTCCATCGTATCTTTCCATGACTCGAGCATGTAAAAATTTTATCTGGTTTAGTGCAGTGCATTTAAATTACTGCTGTTTAGAAGAGGGAGTGTTAATTGAATGAGAAGACCTTGATGAAATAGTTCATTCAAAGGCATTTAAAAACTGTCAAGCAATCAAACTATCAGAGTGATTGATCCGAAATCTTTTTGCCATTACGGACTATTATACGCCCTCTTCAATGTATTTATGATAGAGCTCATCTGTACAGGTAAGAAAGTTCATTTGGATAGAGCTGAACAGTACTGGCAAGCCCATTTTTGCATAAACAGGGCTGCTTAAATAATGGTGTAAACACAATGCAAGATTTACATCCTGCCCAAGTCTCTGCAACACAATTTAAACAATGCGGTCTTCTTGTAAACATCCGTTATTTTTTTACTTAGGTCCAATGTTACGAAATAAAAACCGTCAAAATGCCCATTATATATTTTACTTTAGATTCGCCAGCTATGTGCAGAGGAAAAGTTGTCATGAAGTTTCGCCCGAAAAAACATCCCAAGTCTAACCAAAATGATTTCACTTGAATATTATAATGACCACTATTACATAGGATCAAGGGCTGGTGCAACTCAGCAAATTCACTACTCGTGTTTTTAAATAAGTAGATTTGTCTATAGGAGTGGTTAATTTAGTATTAGCGGCACAATATTTGGTCAAAGTTATGGACAAACCACATTGAACTCCTCTTTTAAGGTATTTTGACGTCCTTCTTACCACTTTTTACTCCCTTCTAGATGCCAAATCGTGAAGAACCGCAAAGGCTAAACGTCATACGATTTGAAAACTATTAACAAAAGGCTCTAAGAAGGAGTTTTTTATACTAATTTTGTATCTATGCCGGCATACTTTGCTTCATACTTTTGTTTGTTTTTCTGCTGGCTTTCATCTGGGGGATTGGTTGAAAAAAACGAAGAAGGCATTGTAAGGGATGTATAAAGCAGCCGAAACTTGGCGTCAACACATGCAATAGGAATGAAAATATGCAACTAGAGTCCTAGTCATGGTCCTTTTGCTTCAAATGCTCCTTCTCATCTTCCGAAAGGAAACCGGAATGCTTCTTTTGAATTTGGCATCTAAAAATAAAAAAAATGATCTGCACACTGTACACTAATCGTCTAATATAAGTGTGTAATATCGATTAAAATAACTTTGCAACTTCAGCATTAAACTAGCTATTTAAAGTTTCCTCAAGGTCACATCTGCTGTTAAGTTAATTTCAGTAAAGGTTGTGGTGGTTTGCGGTCTCACTTGACCCTGTCATACTACTCGAGCACTTCAGCCTCCACAGATTATCCTTCCCCTATGTGGTATAGCGTTGAGGCGTTGAGAATGTGCGTTCTTCCAAAGTACTTCTTATTATTATGAATTCAGGGAAGACTTAGGGTTCCACAACAGTTGCAGAGGCAAGCAGGGATTTATAAGCACTCTGGAAGTACTGCTTGACTACTTAGCTTTTAGTAATTAACTACTGTAACAAAGTTAGACGGCTTGACATAAATTCCCTTACCTTTCTTTGAGGCAATAAAGTATTTTCATACATATTAGGTTTATCGCATAAGTAAATGAGATGTTTAGAGATATTGCAGAAAACAGGCAGGTTTTTAGCAAACAAAAAAGTGGCAAAGCGTTTAGATTTGCCTTTCTTTAGTAAAAAAACGAAGGAAAGCAAGGTCTGTAAACATTTTTTTTAACAAAAACACGGATCCAAGATATATATGCGAGATCTTTGGACAGCAAAAAGACAAATGTTGAGTTGATTTGTTTAATTGTGCTACACTTTTCCAATTTACAGATGTTTAAATTACCTAATTTGACACTAAGGAAATACCAACAAAATAATACTCTGCATTTTTTCCAAAAATTTAAGGAGATTTTTAAAAAGTGTGGTATAAATTTGAAATAGGAGTAACTGTGCGTTAGAGCGTATTGTTCAAACATTGATGGGAAATAGTATAATTTAGCTAAAAAACTAAGTTTTATGTTGTTCACGAGAAAGGACTTACTGGGTGCGGAATAAATAAACTATGAAGACGAAACCGAGTGCTTTAAAATGACAGCTTAAAAATAGCAAGCCGATCAAATCACATCCTGCTGCATTTAGAGGCCCAAACATGAATGAATGTGAGAGTCTGGGGGAGGAGCGATTGACAGGATTGACAAGTGAAACCTACCCCCAGAGCACAGCTCCACATCTGATTCTAGTACAAGCTGCAAAGCTGTCTTCGGGTGTGGAGTCCTCTCTTGTCTCACCACGAAGGCAACACTTTCTCAAGTGGCGCAAAATAGCCTTCTTATTTTTGAAAAAATCAGTCCAAAGATCATGCACTTTCTTATTGCATTCAGCATTCAAGTCAGAGCACCTTTGAATGCAGGCCTTAAAATACTCAAATCTTTCATCTGCTTGAGCTGGTTGAATATTCGGCGAGGCTAGAACGATGAGGAGCAACGCCACGAAGCAAGGATAACACGGATGGCAGACGTGCATGGCTAGAGGTCCTAACTGTTTCGCAGGCTCCTTTTAAATGCGCGAGAATTTTGTGGAATCCGTTTTGTTTACAGAGCTTTAGTAATGTTTATCCATTGGCAGATATCTAGTGCGCTTCGTGTATCAAACCTGCATCGGCAGCTGACATGCGTCGGTTAAAACTATTTCCGTGACATCAGGCCGAATGCGGAGCATCATGATTAAAAAAACATGAAATTTGACGGCGCTAAAATCATTGTGGCCTTGAAGATGTCACGCCTGCATGATCAAATAAGCTGACATGCGTACATCACTGCCGGCAGTCCTCTGTCCGTTTACTCCTCTAAATGGGTACAGAATCTTTTGACCTTTTGTCCATTTAGAGGGCGATTTAATTCTCTTTTTTTAAAGTAACAACAACCATGGAAGTAGATTTTCCTTTTGAACAACGATTAGGTCACCTCAAAGTTTACAGTGAACATGGTTATGTGAGCTGTCTTTTAAATAGCAGAAGAATGGTTCCCATTGCTTAAAATTTCCTCCTCATATTCTTCACACTTGTTGCCCTTTGATTATTTAAACAAAATAAGGGGGCAAGTTTACTTGATGCGATTGAGGTGGCATACATGAGTGTTTGAATATGTTTTTAAGGTGGTAGGTGGTCAGCCTGTATTACCTCAGTGGCTGAGCAGCCATCACCAATCTTTAAGGCGATTATGAATGCCTAAGCTTCAGAAAAATCACCTATCTGGTACTACACAGATGTGCTTTCCTCTAGCCAGTCTTCTCAACCCTGGGGTCTATTGCCGGAGGTAGGGGAAAGACACGGGCAAAGAAATGTCACAGGTAAAATTAGCTAAGTTTTAACAAATTGAAGCAATCTAAGTTGGTACTTTTCCCAACTCAATTACACACTTAAGAGCTGTAAGGTTCGTTTTAAAAATGTGTCCAAGTAACCCAATATTTGGTAAAAACCGGGCTACGGAGCAATTTCTTTCTCCAGGAAAAATTTTTACATAAACTTACTTATTCTAAGGGAAATTTGACGTCGAATAATAAGTCTGCCATGTACAACTAAACAAAATGGAGGCGAGATACGCCCGGCACTATTAATCACGCATTATCCCATATAAATGATAAGACGATACAAATTTACCTAATAACGAGTCACATCCAGCAGTGATTTAGGTTAAAAATAGGATTTGGGCCGCGAAATTTTCCAAAATGACTCTTTGAATAAAGCATTTGATGATACTTGCAAACTCGACCACTGGAAAAACCCAAATGCGTATATAATTCTTATCAAAACATAGAATATGCTTATTTTTTAAAAATTAGCTGATTTCTTTTTAAAGTGCTTATTTGTGCAAGCGAAACGTTTTACACAGCATCAATATTTAAACGGCCGGCTGTTTTTCGTACATATCCTAAGAGAATTGAAACAATTGTTTTCCAAACAAAATATATATTACATAGACTTGTAAGTGCTTAAGACAGCAATATTAAAGGTGAGAAAATAATCATAATTATTACTAATGGATAGCATACAAATAGGTGCTCATCCCATACTTTAATGTCAGGCTGGGGTGCCTGTGGCTTAAACAAAACCATTAAAATTAATTTCTTTTTAACTTAAGGGACGAATTGGCCCACCAAACAATTTGTTTATAGACCTATATTTGAATTAAATCGATTTAAGTTTGCCATTAATTCCTACTTACCCCCATAACATGGCTCCGCAGTTAATCCTCGCACAGGCTCCAAAACTATCATTGGGACTTGCGTCCTCCCGATACTCATTTAGCAGACAGCACTTTCTTGTTTGGAGCGCAATTCGCCTCTTATTAGCATAGTAATCCACCCACAAGTGTTTGACCTGTTTACTGCAATCCATGTAGAGGATGGAGCAGCGCTTGATGCAGGATTTGAAGCGCTGAAAAATCTCCGCCTCTGTTGCACTAAGAGATATATCCGCCGTGAGTAGAATCACTAGAAGGAGGGCTGTGATGCAACAACCCATCACGGGCGCCTACCAGATTCAAATCACCGAGTTATTTTGGGATGGTATTTATACTCGACTAGGCGATGTTTTGATCAGTGAGGCTGACCATTCAGTAATTAACTGACTGATCTCCAAAATAAATATTTTGTCGGTATCTTGTGACAGGTGAAATTGTTAATCTCGAAATTCATATTTGATGTTTATGCTGAATCAGAATGGGAAGCAACAACAACAAATCAGTTTTGATAGTAGTGATTGGTAAATAGTTGAGACTTTGGGCCTTCAACATTGTTCCCTTGCTAATTTTAATGCTTTGGTGAAAGTAAATGAGGGAATCATCGACTTACTCCTTCGAATATCATTAGTAGGTAGCAATTCCTCTAATGCGACTGCATTGCATTAGTTTTAACCCTGGATAGTGGGTAATTGTTGTCCACAGGAAGGCTTTTTTAGGATCAAAGCAAAATTCCTATATTCTGTTCAAATATAAGGAATGCTTTGAAAGTTCAGGTTAATGTCCATGTCTCTGTTTCACGGTAAAGCAGCTGCATTTAATTCCAAAAGTACTTTAAGCTAAGCAATTGGATGACTACATTGGGGTTGGGACTTCCATCCTCTACCTGTACCTCTCCCGTCCACCTTGCACGCTACTAATAAACCATCTTCCATGAAAGCATGTCCAATTCCATCTTCTGGAAGGGCTTCTTGGGAATACAAAATCTTAATCCCCGTTTACAAGATAAATATGGACGCAGAAAATTTGATTATGTCAGGACTAAAGTACTGAAAAAAGTTGATTGTTTAGCCAATACTCGGTTCTAATAAAGGGACCGCAAGGGGCTCCGGATGGCCTGCAGAACATGTTAGTAGCCCTAGGCCCTATTAAACGTCGGCAGTACATTTTCCGCATCCTTTCACCTTTAGGAAAGTCCCAAAGCGCTGCGGTGGTAGCTGCAGAAAGCTAAACTTCTGAGCGATAATACTTAGCAGAGCGGAAGAAGTGCATATGCTACTGATTTAATAACCGGTGAGGATCCACAACAGAAGGACCGGAAATAACGCCTACCTTTGGCAACTACCCCGGTGCTGTGATCTGCAGGAAAGCCATTACCACCTAGCTGTGAACCACTTGGAGAAGTTTGCAATGGAGCTGTCTACCATACCTACATAAAGATGTCAAATATGTGAATACTTGGTACCTTCTTCGACTCACTACTGCCTGAAGCGAACCTGGTTAGATAACATAGATGGACAGCACTGAAGTATCAAACCACCTTCCTTTGTTATGTGACTGCTTTTAGGTCAGTATTTCTACGAATGGTGATGGCCCTCAGTGCAGTTTCCACACAGGACGGAACTCCAGATCCGGCAAAGTTGCCTAAAGGAGTCAGTAATTTTGCAGTTGCATAGAAATTAGATGAATGGAGCAGATGGCTTGTGGGTGTTTCCATACACGACCCATTACATTGTGACGGCTGACTCGGGGAGTTGATAAAGGGGAGCGCAGAGGATGATGCTCAAAAGAGGAGAGGAGCTGTGTGACATGTTAGTTGATTGTTTAATTCCTGGATTTGATATAGGGCCCCTCTTAGGTGCTCCACTATTGTACCTTCGCTAAGCAGTCTAGCCTCCGGGTCATGTCAGTAGCCTCAAGCCCTACTGCAGGTCAGCAATACATATTCTGCCCAAGTGTTATGTCTTCTTCCATCTTTAGGTGAGTCTCAAGATGCTACTAAAACAATAAATCAAGAAAATGCAGCATTCATAATCCAACAAGAAGTTATTCTATAATTTCTCGTCCAACTGCAATACTTATGAATCATCGAACACTATGAAGGTCTACGAATATCAATAAAAGTGGAAAACTTATATTCACTTGTCAATTATCGGAAGCTCTAGGACATATATATCGCCTTGCAAAACAATCTTAATGTAAATATACGGTCCATGCGTCAATTAAACGAGCAAATTGGATACACAATCCATCTGAGTTACACACATTGACACCATTGAGAAGACATGATAAAAAATTTAATCATTTTGGCTGTACTATTTTCCATTAACAAAAGCGCGAAATGACTATGAGTCAAAACTGCAGTGAAAACAGTAAAATCCCAATCAAAACATTAGTGATTTGTTAGGCAGTGAAATTCGGAAGATATAAACTTCACACAAAGCAGGTTTGGTTATTACTCAGTCAAAATTTTAAGATTGTCATAATGCACGATAGTTTGAATGTACCTTTTAGATAAAAAGCGTTTAGTTTTCACCAACCTCGCACCTGAGAGGGCGCCATCAGCTGTCAAACGATAAAAGTAATCTGTGAAAATCTAACAAAGTGCAGAGATAAGACGTCAACTTCTGTTTTGAAGCGAAAAGAAAAATTAAAAATAAAAAGGTGGCAGCGTTATAGCACAGTGCTCTTTTATCCCTTTAATGCGCCTTTGATGGCGCGATAGCCTTAAATCTGCAAGGATTGTACTTCCGCTAAGCAGCATGACATCCGAGACATGCTAGTAGCTTCTAAGCCCTTCTGTACCGTAGTTGTGCATTTTTCGCCACACCGATATGACTTCTTACGCCTTCAGTAAAGACTCGGCGTCCTGCAATGGAATAACGACGCTGTAGACTCAACAAAGTTGATTTAAATAAGCATCATGCTAGAATAGGCATTAGAAGAAGATGTCGGGTAAAAAGGGTGACAAATAGATTCACCCTACGTTTAGGACTTAAAGTGAAAGAAATCTGTCCCATTTGTTAATATAGAAAATTGCATTAAAGTACAAACAAAAGGGGTAAATGCGAAACATTGAGAACTGGATTCCGTATAATCATTTAACACCGATTCTAAGCATAAGCAAACAGGAGTGCTTCTGCATACTAAAAATCTGAATTATAACTTACTTTTAGTGAGCAGTTAAGCGCGGATATTGTATAAATAATAACTGACTTTACATTTGATTAAAAAGCCGCTTTGCCAAAATTTAAAATAAAAACGGCCAAAATTAACAATTTTTTGGGATATAAACATAGAAACCAACATTCCCAGCCTACAGTAAAAAATTAACAGAGATGAAGGTCAATTCAAGGTTATTTTATGTATGACAGAAGCGTCAATCTTCACTAGCATCCAACAAAATGCGGTCCTACGGTCCAAATGCGCCGCCAAAACCATCTTCAGCTTTTACTTTATACATGCGACACCGCTGCAGTCAGTCTAATGATCTGATTTCGCGGCCTTTTAACGAACGGCGTCGCATAATTAGCAGTGAATGGTCATCTCTATCCCAGGAACAAAAGCAGGTATACTACAAGCAAGCTATTGTAGAACGAACAAAGTATGAAGAAGAGTTTGCCGAATACAAGAAGACGGATGAGTATAAGGACTGGCTTGCCAAGCAAGAACATAACAAATCTTTATCCCGAAAAAAGAATGGCAAGTCTTCGTCAAAAGAGACACATGAAGATGTTGACAGCTTTGAGGATGAATATTCTTCGAAATTTCGTCGAATCCCAATATTTACCCATGAATTTCTTGAATACAATAGGGAAAGAGAGACGTCACTTCGTCATATTCGCAAGCAGGTAAGTTTTCCTGTTTATAACACCCGTTTATTCCTACTAATAAGCTAGAGTGGATGCAGAGTGATTCCTTTTACGACGGTCTCATTTTTTTCCTCTAATTTTATTTCAGGTCACCAAATTAGACGAGGAAACTGCCTTGCTAAGTAAACACATTGATAATCTCGCTGGTGCCGAAACGAATTTGGAGCAACAGATCAAGTTGGCCGAGGCTACCTTGGCTTCCGAGGAAAGCATCCTAGCTAAACTTAATAAGGAGTTAGTGGCCACATTCTCGGACGTAAGTTTACCCCACTGTTGTTCAAAAACCCACGCGTGAGCTAATATCCCAACTCTGCTATAGCTTCCAGTGCCCAACCCGGACGTCTCGACTCGGTCGCCAAACAAAGGCGTTGAAAGGATTAATCCCAATAACATCGAATCCTACTTATCCAGGCTGGCCGAGCTGACAAGCTCTGGACATCACGAAGCTTTAAAAGCTAAGGCTCGAGACCGTCTGAAGGCCGCCGTGCAGTGCGGCACACTGTCCGTGTGCTCCATTTGAGTCTTGATTACATTCGCATCTACTTGCCACTTCGAGTTTGGTGCCACTTCAAAGTCGACAACCGTTCTAAAGCTTCTATTGCTCTAGCCTTCTTCTATTACAAAGCATAATGAGAGGCAGATGCATTGGATGTAGCCGTGCAAAGATAGGTTGAATATAAGTCAGGGCAGAGGAGAAGTATGTACATGAAGGGAAGAAAGAAGCGCAAATGAAGCTCATTCCAGTCGAAGCGAGCGATGGAAAGGTTGGCTAGAAAGCCTTCGTTAAAGTATGTAAACACGTTTTGCTTCGCTTGCGTCAAATGTCTCGCCCGACCTGGGGCATGTCAGCTTGCCGTCCGGGCCCGTCAAGTCTGCTATTCCCTGAAAGTGAAAATACACCTATTCTTAGTGTTACAGCGCACAAACATTAGTATCTAAATATCCAATCCCAATTCATGCTTAGTTCAGCAGGTCTCAAGAAAAAAATCAGATATGGCATGCAGTAAAAAAGGAAATTCTCAGGTTTAACGATGTCATTCGGGTGCGCCTATCCTCGGCGTTCGTCAATTTTTAGGCTAAATTAAGGCGCAAAATATCCGCGCAGATAGCGCTTAAACAGTGCCGATGATTTTGGCAACCTTACTGAGCACAGAATTGTGCTGTCTTTGATCAGATGTTTCTCCTAGCGGATTGCAACTAAGAGGCAACTAGAGTGTGCCGTAAGCAGTATTGTTGCAATCAAATTTTCTTCGTAGATAGCAGGGAGTGGTTCGATGGTTTGACGTCTCACGATTTATTTGATGAACACAACAGTCGAGAAGAACTTTCCTGTTAGCTTACGTTATCTAGGCATACACGAATACCGGGGAATAACTAGTTCTAAAGGCACGGCTACACCTAAAATAGATGCATAGGTAACGCTTGGGTGGCGTCGCCAATTTGGAAGTTAGCCTTTAAACGATACATCTGACTTCTAACAAGGCGTATATTCAAGCATTACGGTTGGTAAAAATTATTCAGTGCTGTGGAGACGTAGCACTAACTGGCCATCGGACGCCTAGAGCAGTTAAAACGAAGTATTCGAACTCAACAACGCAACTTATACGGAAAGGCATCTATTTGAATACTGCCTTGAACAAATGGTTAACCCATTTGGCTCACTATCCATACCCTCCTCACTCGTCATACCTCGTCCGTGGATATTCCAGAGCGTGCTGGTCTTACGGTACATCAAGCACAGGGCAGAAACAGCAAAATTAGATAGATCTACTATCCTCCACTGGCTTAACTACGGGTCACATGCATAAACATGGAGGCAATCAAAAAGTGTGATCACCTGTTGACTGTAAACGTAACCGTTCGGCAGCGCCATGGGTGGGTTGTCATCATTCATGACAAGGCCTGTTTGATAGCACGTGAGAACAGAGTGGTCGTGGCGTCCGAAGAGAAGATTTTGTGCGAAGCGATTAATGAGTGGATGGCAGACCACGCAATCCGGGTGACGCGACTTCGAGTTGTAGCAAAAGCTGAGACAGCGAAGTGACAAGATATTTCAGGAGGTGGCATTAAATGGTGTAATACGGGTAGGGGGCAAGGCCTGTTTATTCGACAGCGGATAAATTAAGCGAAGCATGGATATGATAAGCTAGTCGTTTTAAGGATTAACAATTTGGTACTCTAAACAGGGTGTTGAGCCATCGATCCAGGGCGTACGCGTTTACGCCAAAGGGGCTTACTGAGTCTTGATGGCGGTAATGCCTGCGCGAACCGCCAACGAGAAAGGCGTGGGTGAAGTGAAAGAGTAAAAGTTCATCAGAGCCAGGTGAAAACGCTTGATAATCCATGCCTCATTGAGCTCATTTTGTGCCTGAGTGGAAAAGAGAGCAAATTAGTGTACCTCAAGTTTTGAGGGGTGGGCTCGCATTGCTACCGGGCAAGGCTTACCACATCCTTACGAAAGATAAATCTCTATTTCCAGCAAAAGAATACCAGATTAATCAGTTTGGAAGCCGAGGAAATAACTCACAGCTTTTGCGTCGACTTCTTCGGACGTGCGCATAATAAGGAGCAGCATCGCCTGACCCAAACGCCGGGTTTTGTAGTCATCGTCTTGCTGGAAATTACCTAAATATTTGCGCGAATGCCTGAACAGAAAGGGAAGGAATGAAAGAAGCAAAGACAGATAAGTTATTAGTATTTAAAACACTCAGGTGCTCTGTATTCTCTCATTTACTCGACTTCAAAGGATGGCAAAGTCCATTTTTCTACGAGGTACGGGTACCACAAAGAATGTGTCGTTTTTGAGGATTGAGCGAACATGTATGGACATCGGAGCAGCTGCGCGCGCCGTATCCCAAAATTCCCCAACCGGCAGCACACAAACTTCAACCAGTTAAGGAACTGCTTTGCACTCAGTTAGGTATCATTTGCTGGCTAAGTGAGTTAGTTTGATGGCCGGACAAGCCAAAACAGTGTTTTAGAGCGACTTTACACTATTTAAGCATCGTTGGAGCACCGCTTCAAGTACGGTCTACTACTCAGTAGAAAATTCAAACTAAGTATGAATACAACAGCAAGTCCAGTCAAAAAACAAATTCAGGCGTCTCCTTTGCTTTACAATATCAGATACTTTAAACAAAAAAGAAGTTGGGAGAGTATAAAACAGCCTATCCCTAATGATTCCTGATCGAGATTTTACTAGCACTCGAAACGACAACCATCAATCAGATCGAGCGAAATTATCGCACCGTTTATGTGATCTTCGTACAAACAAAAGGATGGGAAAGCAAATTAGCAGCGATATCTGTGTTAGCGTTCAAATGCACAGACAAGGAGGATTAAGCCCCCTCTAGTTCAGTTGGACTGTGCTAATATTAACAATAATCAGGGGGAATTTGAGTCAAAAGGCTTACAACTAAGAAAGCACATTGATAATTGATAATAAGCATTGATAAGCATTGATAATAAGCATTACGGCAATGAACAAGGCATGACACTACATTAGTAAAGACCTGCTGCACTTACATATACGAGACAAATAAAATGCAGGGTTAAACTCACTGTACGGCCTCCAACCTTTTGTTTGCCTTGACGAGGAGATAAAACTCGAAGACACGTAAGTCAAAATCGAAGGTACACTGTAATAAATAGTTAAAGAAATTCGTACATACGTAATAGAAGCAACCTACAAGTGGATCGTAGAATAACCAAGACGATAATTGAAGATGAGAACGCTTCCTTACGAAAAGTATCACAAAACCCAGATGGCTAAAGAAATCATTTGCATCTATATTTTAACACAATAATTATTACGGTATCGTAAAATAAAACCGGCAAAGTTGGTCAAGAAGGAGTTACCAAGGTGAATTCTTGTCGCAAAAAATAGCTCAGGTAAAAAATGGGGAGAGAAAAATGCTAGAAACACAGACCATCGCAGTACTAACGGCGAGCACAGCGCACTCGGGATAACTTTGACCCTTACTACTAGATGGCAGGACCAGTGACTTGAAAAATATCCAAAGGTATACCTCAGCGTGTTTCAACCTGAACTTGGCCTCTTGGAACCACTTATGCGCAGGCTCTGTATCGCCTCTAGATAGGGCCTCCTGGATGGTAAGGGCCTCTTGAAAAATATCTATGAAAATTTTGTCCGCATCGGGACACTGACGAGCCAAGGCTAGGGCCGAACTATAATGGCCCACGGCGAAGAGATGCTCGGCCAAGAGACGATTGCATCGCGACGCAAAAATTCGCTGTTCAGAGTGGGCTTGTGGTGAAGCAGTGACTTTTGTATGACATGATGATTTATTCCCGGGTTCAGCAATAAAACTTTCCACCTGATCGGTAGCAAGCAATGTATTGTCTAAGAAAGCAAAAAGATTGCGCTTCTTAATAAAACAAAATTAGGGCCAACCCTTAACAAACCGCAATGTTGCAAAAAAGCATTTGTTTCAAAAGAAATACCTAGGCCACGGAGGTTTGAGGAGAATTTTCCCTCAAAGTCAGAAGCTTCTTTAAGATTATCGATTCTACGCTTGCAGGAGGCAACAAGCTCCATTTCTTCGTTAAATATTTCATCAGCCTGACGTTAGTTATCAAATAAAAGAAGTACCTTTCGTTTTGAGCCTCGGACGGCAGTTATAACACGCCCAATGAATTCAGCAGCCTCCTCAGATGTGTTGACGTCGCCAAATTTATCAATAATGCGGTTTAAATTGGCACTGTTTTTCTCCAATTCCCGGTGGTTAACTCTATACTTCTTATTCAGAAGCTCATACACAGCCTGATAAATAATACTGAGACACAGATACTTACTTTCATACCCATGTACTCGGTAAGTTCTATTTCGCTACATGACGCAGCAGACGCCATCCTCGGGGAATCTTTGAATTTGGTGAAATGAATCACCCAAGGTAAAACGTAATGGCTGGAATATGCTGCGAACTTAGGCAACGAAATATAACAAACAATAAATATTACCAGAAATTATGGCCACTAACACACATAAAGAGGAGATATTCTAAATCAGATTAAATCAAACGAAAAAAAGTAATAGTGCACTAGCCATAGAATGAGGTGAATAATATTGTAAAGCACTAAGGAATATTCAAAAGGAAGTCAACTGGAATCTTTAAGGGTAAAATTTAACTCAAAAAGCATTAGTCCGGCTTAATGATTGTGCAAGATGCAATATTGTAGTTAGGCTACCACAAATAAATGACCAATTGTGTAATCTACAGCACTGATATCTATAACCCTATCAAGTATTAATTGATATAATTATATTTTAGGGCAAACTAAAAGCAGTACCTAAAAAGTAAATTGATTGTGTTCACGGAGCACTATTGAATCTAATTTTTTCACAATCTGGAACAAAGCTATAACCCTGACACAAATAATATTTTAGCTCTCCGAGTCTTCCATTAAAACAGACGCATAGTACTTGGGCAGACTACATATATTCGGCTTTAGTATGGTTTAAAGATATTGATATGATCTGGAGGCCAGCCCACTTGGCGAATGTGGTACGACGGACAAATTATGTGGCCCCTTTATCGAAAATCGACACTTGAACAAACAACCAACGTATGATAACATTGCTAAATGTGTGTGCTCCCAAGCTATTAGTGTGACACTTTAGTTTTAACTGTCTGTTTTAGAAATGGAGCCCCTTTCTCTCTTTATCATTGTACATTCAAAGAATAAACTGACCACCGCGCCATGCCAGTAGCCTCAAGCCCTACTATACGTCCAATACATTTTGTAATACGATTGTGGTTTATCCCTCGGCACTGGTGAGGCACCACTTTTTTGTACTTCGAATAAGCCCCCTTGTACCTCGCTGGGTGGGCCGGCCTTTTGGCCATGCCAATAGCCCAGACACCTTCTCTGCGCTGAATATATATTCTGCCCAAGTATTGTGTCTTCTTTCGTCTTCAGGGAGTCTCGGAACGCTACAATGTATTCTGCCTGAACATCTTACCCTCTTTCGTCGTAGAAGAAGCGTAGAGGAGGTGTACTGGTAACGACGAAAAAAGAGGCCTACCTTGATGCATATCTATCCTGATTTCTACTGCCATGTAATTACTCCTATAGAAAAAGAGGTGCATGCTTTGCGGATCTGTGGTGGCCAATAACGGAGGGGCTGAAAGTGACTTCAAGTTTTAGCAACTCTTCCTGTCCTGTGCTCCGCACGAAATCTATTATCAACCAAAAAGACACCGCCCGTAAATCAATCAGAAAATTTTGCTACGAAGCTGCCTACCATGCTTTTATAAAAAGCTATTATGCGAAATCGCGATACCTCATCCACTTCTGCACTAGCTAAATGGGACAAGGAAAAATATTTCTAAGAGCTATAAAGCACGAAAGGAGTTGAAGTAGAATGAACTCGAAACCCTATCCTTTCAGAGCATGGTAGTAACAGTATTTTATTTTTAATTATAGTGTTTCTGGAACTAGCTAAGTACACGCGTGATGGCAAAAGTAGTGATTTTTCCTACAAACTCACTATCCACACAGATCAAGAGCTGATTAAGTAAAATTTCGACAAGAAATCAACCACGTTACGCTCAATTATTACTCCAGTTGCATGGGCACTTCCATGACTGGCACAAGTGGCTCGTAGATGTTTTTCCTTTAGTAATGGTTACGATGTCGTGGCAGACGCTGAAGATAAAAATAGAGAAACACTCGAGATCAGGCCCAGAAATCACAGAAGTTACATAACGCGTTTGTGGTTTAACCCATGGTTGGTTTAGGGCCACTTTTTGTGTCTTTGCCCTAGTGCAGCTAAAACTAGGCTTAAATCTTAGCGATATTAGTAGCTCTAAGCTGTTTTTGCACCAGCTGTAGCATCCCGAGACTTCCTGAAGACGAAAGAAGACACAATAGTAGGGCAGAATATATATATTCAGCGTAGAGAAGGTGTTTGGGATACTAGCATGGCCCAAAGGCCAGCCACCCAGCAAGGCACA